TGTGTAATGGAGGAGACTATTTTTAGAAACTGCCTAACTTGAAGGCAAATTCTTTTTCTGCCAAAATCCAGAGAGGTGTATGATCCCTGAGAATATATGTAGAGAGAGAAAATGAGACAGCAGAAAAAGAAAAGAGGGAAGAGAAGAGAGATTAAGACCACTCTCAGATAATAGGTAACTGTAAGCTATATATTTTTTGAAACTTTATGGAGAACACATTCTTTGAATACTATCTTTTGCATGGATTTTAGAAGTAATTGAATAACAGCAAATAGAGTTATAGAAATATAGTTGCTTAGAATTCTGGAGAAAAAAACCTTAAAATTGGAGAATTTGTAAATAGAATGATTAGAATTTCTCTTATATTAGTGCACTCATTAACTTTATATTAAAGAAGAGTCACTGGGATTTTAGTTGATTTGGAATGTGGACAGTGCGGGCTATAGCAGAGGGTCATTATTCTCTGGTGAGAATAATGGAAGAAGAGGATTTGAATAGGAGTAGAAAAGAGTTTTATTCTTGACCATGTCTAGCTGTGATTTCCATGGGTCCCTTGAGGCAAAGGGGTCAGCATTTAACTCCAGCACCATATTTATATTGCTTAAAATTTGTTTTTATAATTCTGCCTAAATTAACGTGTAGGAAGCAATTTATAGTTCACTTCTGATGGAGGCTTAGTGAATCTAAATTAGTCTTCGTCAACACTATGACTTTTCATGTTAAAAGAATTATTCCAAACAAATCTAACTTAGATGAAGACTTTTTGACAATTATCTCCAATATTTTCCCCCCTAGGGTTGCCAGATTAGAAATTCTTCTAACAAAAGGGTGGCTTGGTTGACTTGTTTTCATTTTGATGTATTATATATTACATATATATTCTGCCTTATTCTCTTTCGTGTTACTGGAATTGGGATGCCTGTGTATAACATTTTGTTACTCCGTTCTCACAAGGTCTAAATATGTTAAAAAGTGTAGACCTAGGGGCGCCTGGGTGGCTTAGTCGGTTAAGCGTCCGACTTTCGCTTAGGTCATGATCTCGCGGTTCGTGGGTTCGAGCCCCGCATCGGGCTCTGTGCTGACTGCCAGCTCAGAGCCTGGAGCCTGTTTCAGAGTCTGTGTCTCCCTCTCTCTCTGACCCTCCCCTGTTCACGCTGTCTCTCTCTATCCTAGAAGTAAAATAAAAAAAAAAAGGGTAGACCTAGGCGCAAATAAGTCTGGCTAGGCAACATTCTGTAAGGGAACGTTCTTAACTGGTTTTGTCATTCTGTGTATCAGGATATTGATCTAAAAAGTCAAGTTGAACACTTAGATATCTTCCAAAAATTGTATTCTTTTTTTTTGTTGTTAATAATTGTCAAATTAGCTAACATACAATGTATACAGTGTCATCTTGTCTTTGGGAATAGATTCCTATGATTCATCACTTACATACAACACCCAGTGCTCATCTGAACAAGTGCCCTCCTTAATGCCCATCACCCATTTTCCCTGCCCCCCAAGCCCTGCATCCCCCAATCAACCCTCAGGTTGTCTCTATCTTTGAGAATCTCTTATGGTTTGTATTCTTCTCTGTAATATTTTTCCCCTTCCCTTTCCCTATGGTCCTCTGTTAAGTTTCTCAAGTTCCACATATGAGTGAAATCATATGATGTCTGTATTTTTCTGACTTATTTCACTTAGCATAATACCTTCCAATTCCATTCACATTGTTGCAAATGGCAAGATTTCATTCTTTTTCATTGCCGAGGAGTATTCCATTGTATATACATATACCACATCTTCTTTATCCATTCATGAATTGATGGACATGGGGGCTCTTTCCATAATTTGGCTCTTGCTGATAGTGTTGCTATAAATATTGGGGTACATGTGCCTCTATGAATTAGCACTCATTTATCCTTTGGATAAATTCCTAGTAGTGCTATTGCTGGGTTGTAGGATAATTCTATTTTTAATTTTTTGAGGAACCTCCACACTGTTTTCCAGAGTGGTTGTACCAGTTTGCATTCCCACCAACAGTGTAAGAGGGTTCCCATTTCTCCACATTCTTGCCAACATCCTTAGTTTCCTGAGTTGTTAATTTTAGCCACACTGATTAGTGTGAGGTGGTATCTCAATGTGGTTTTGATTTTTAAATTTACTTTTCTTAACTGGGGTGTGTGAACATGACTCATCTATAGAGATTTTGTTACAAAATCGACATGCTTAATGATGAAGACCCATCATTCATCTTCTGAATCAGAATCTCCAGGGACAGGGTTTAGGCAAATATAATTTGTAGAAGGGTCCTATTGATTTTGATAGATACTCCTAGTTGAGAATCAATGATGTATAGCAATGCTTGAAGTCAAGAGGTTAATTAGGAATTTGAAGAAGACAGAGAACACATTATCTATGAAAGGCCAACCTATACATTATAATAAGAAATGTATGTGATCTTAGATATATTCAGTTAACTATAGGTATTATACAATAAACTATTAAAAGTAGACATCTGATATAAAGTTCTAGTTCCTTCTCATGAAATAGGTGCTTGTGATAATAACATAATAATCTGTTTCATTCTGGGGTGCATTTGTTTATAAAATGTTTTTACAGTGTCTTGACTATACTGCTATACTGGTAATTTTCTGCATGTCTTATATGTCTTTTATATGAAGGCTTTTTTTTTTTTTTTTTTTTGGTATGGGTGATTCAGCATTTGCCTGTGCATTTGCTTATAGCTTATGTTAAGATGGTCTTTGTCAGTTGTTTTGCTGAGAAAGTCTGCTTTTCCTTTAACACACTAACATTTTTGCTTCATAACTCAGCAATTCCAAGATTATTGGTGTATTCTATACTCTGTCACACTCTGATCTTGCACTCTGATTGTGTTGAATAGTTAACTCTGTTCTAATGCCTATGTTTTTAGCTACATTCTAGTAATTGGGAATTTTCTTTTGGATGGAAAATTAACTTCCAAGTGAGAGCCTGTACTAAGAACAAATTATCTGTAGAAAAAGAATAAAATATCATGATGATGGAGATATTTTAATATTCACTTTTGCTAGGCTCTCTGACAAGTAGATTAATTCACTTCATCATTACACATGACTATGAAGAAAGTTCTGTTATTTTACCTCTTTAAATATGAAGTAATGGAGTCATTCAGATGGGTGAGGACAGGATTTGCATTTAAATAGCCTGGTTCTTACCACTACCACCTTTTGCCTGATTATTTGTAATTACCTGTTAACAAATCAATTAAGTAGTCTCTGTACTGAATGTTTTTGAGCTTCCTGACCTACCTCTGATTTTGGCTGCATAGAGTCCCTTGGGAGATTATAATCAGCCTGATGGCATCGCTTCTACCTCATTCTACACCCATGTGTTGTTCTGATTTCTTCCCAGGGCCTTTTCTGAAGTCACAGCTGCTGGCTTAGCATACCAGCCAATACATTTTGGAAACATAAGGAGTTAATGTTCAACCATAGTTATTTGATAAATGCCTTAGCCTCATGCCATTCAGACAGACAATTCTCAGAGGTTCTAGTGGAATCAATTCCTCGTTGATTACCATAGCTTCTTCTCAGTTCTCATTTCTGCTTCCTGAAACTACTTCCCAATAAACTACCTGCACCCAAGACCTTGCCTCAGTTTTTGTTTTGGACAACCGCAAAAAGTCATTCTACTTTATTTACGTTGGAAATAAATAATTTGTAAACCACCTGTTAACAAAAGGATTTATTATCTGACAGTTAAGTTGACTCACTCTCACAGTAAAGAGATCAGTATTTCAAATGACTCATTTAATGCCCTAACTAGAAGTATATACACTTAAGCAGTGTTAAATATTAAGATGAGAATAGGTGAAAGGTAAGCTTTATATTTGAAGTGGGAGAAGAGAGATAGTGTGAAATGAGTCCAGATGAAGCTCCAACAACCTGTGTGTTTTCAAGCACAGCAGATTTAGGAAAGTGTACATAATGTAAGTGGTGGATCTGGAAATTGAACTATCTATGCTTATGAACCTCTTGGAAAGTCTTCACATATTCCCAGGGATATATAAAACGCAGTTTGAGGATTCTTTAGAATACTATTTGTGCATATACACCAAAACTAAACTAAACCAAAGAAAAACTTAATCACAGAGTACTTTGGGTGTAAATGGAAGAAATCTACTCTATGTCTCAAGAAAAGTTGAGGAGATCTATTTTAAAAGGGCTTGCCAATAATAATGGGAGGTGACTTTCATGGAGAGTCTGAGAATTCTTTTGATTTTGTTAAAGAACATGAAAACACAGAGTTCATCAATATTCACATTCATTTAACATTGCATACTTTGTATGTGAAAGGGATTCCCCATTATCTTATTAAAACCACACACTAATTGTTCTCTGGTGTAGGAATTACCATTCCAATTTTAGTTGAAATTAAGTGACTTGCCAAATTCACATAGTTGATTAATGGAAGAATTGAGTTCCTATCCAGACCTTCTGATTTAAAGTCCCATATCCTTTCAAAGACATCACAGTGTAATTGAAAAATCTAGCTAGAAGTTGAACAGAAACATGAGACTTTCCCTATCTCCACCACAGAACACACGTCTCGTATTGCTTTGACTGAAGTTTTCCCTAACACTAATTTCTACCACCACAAAACACAGGCAAAATTAAATGTTTTTTTCCTTGTGTTTCTGTGACAACTTGTATGTATATTGATGACATTTATTGCATTTTATGGTGATTATCTTCTTACTTGCCTGTCTTCCATACCAGATTGTTATTTGATGAAAGAGACTGTATCTGAATTATCTTCCTAATTATCTTCATAATTCAGTGCCAAGCAAAGTGTCTAATATGGAGGAGGCTTTGAGTGACTATATGTCCAATGAGCGACTGCTCAAATGAATGAAAGTAAAAGGATGGCCATTTCACCCAAACCATACTAAATTAGATTATTTCCACACTTCTGCTGGGTCTGGTGCCAAAGACTTTTAAAGAAATTTTAAACTTTTCCAGAACTTTCCTGAGAGCATTTTTCATTTCCTTATTCCTGAGACTATAAATCAAAGGGTTGAAGAGTGGAGTCACCATTGCATAGAACAAGGTCATGATCTTTGGCATCAGGGTAGAATGACTGGATCCAGGGCTCACATGCATAACCATAATCGTCCCATAGAATAGCAGCACCACAGACAAATGGGAACCACATGTTGAAAAGGCCTTGTGCCGACTGGCTGCTGAGGGCAACTGAAGCACAGCAAGGAGAACCAGGGCATAGGAGATGAGGATGAAGAAGAAGCTAAGGAGGATGATGAAGGAGCTTAGGGTATAGCTGATGAGCTTGGACATGGGGGCAGGAGCACAAGAAAGGGTCAGCAGTGGGCCTGAATCACATACAAAGTGGTCAATTTCATTAGGACCACAAAAAGGCAGTTGGGAAATGAGAATAACAGGTACCAGATACCAGAGAAAGCCACATACCCAACAGGAAATTGCTAGGTTGAAACATTGTTGTCCAGTCATAACTGTGGCATAATGCAGAGGATGACAGATGGCAAAATAGCGATCAAAGGCCATTGCTGAGAGAAAGAAGCACTCAGTGGAGCCCATGGAAAAGAAAAAATATAATTGAAGGAAGCATCCAGTGAAAGAGATGGTCTTGGTTTCTGAGAGGAAGTTGATAAGTGTGTTTGGAACAGTGGAATTGACATACCAGATCTCTAGGAATGCAAAATTCCCAAGCAGGATGTACATGGGGTTGTGGAGATGCTGGTCACAACAAACAGCACAGATAATGGCTCCATTTCCCATGAGAGTCAGGAGGTAGATGATGGAGAAGAACATAAACAGGATGACCTGAATGTCCCTGCTGCAGGGAAAACCCAGAAGGATGAATTCCCTCACTGACTCAGAAGAGGATCCTGATCCAGAGATATTCATGTAGACGGTAAGCTGTGCAGCAATGAGACATCACCATGAGACCAAATCCTAATAACTGAGCATAACATATAAGGTCCTTCATGATCTGATCTTTATCTACTTACTTAAACTCATATTTTTCCCTCTGCCCCTTTGAGCTCTATGTCCAATAAGAATAGTTGTGTTTCCACCAAATGACATGCTGTTCTCCCTACCTAAGGTGTAGCTTTTGCTCCTTCCTTCTTTCTATCTTTTTGCTTTTCTATCTCATTAGTGTGTAAGCTTTATGAGACAGAAGTTATGTTTTTCATTTCTATATTATTAGTGTCTAGCACAGTGCAGTCTTCATAGCCATTCCAACATATTTGCTGAATCAATGTTAAGCAAATGACTCATTATATTTTAAGCCAGAATGAATGAGAAATAACATTCTAATAGCTATGCTAGTTTTCTGCACGAAATAATTTACACTTTATTTGTATCATGGATATTTCTTTACATGTTTTAATTTACCTACTAGACTATCAACCTCTGAGAATAGAGACCAAGTGTTAATCATCTTTGATTCTTTTCCAGGGTCTAATACATTATGTTTTAGGCAATATGTACTATGTAATTTTTAAATGAAGTAAGTCATTATGTCTTCAGTTGAATCTTAATTCTATTTTGTATCTAGAAGCTTTAATAATTTCACATATGTAAGAAAAGAATGATTCCATTAGACTTTGAAGCTGGGAGGGAAATTATAGGAGCAGTAAGGGCATGCTGAAAAGAGGAGGTTGGAGACCAACATGGTATGTGATTAGAGTAACTAAATATATCCGTTTGTCTGGAACTGTCCCAATTTTAGCACTGATGGTCTTGTGATTCCAGAAACCCATTAAGCCCAGGGAAGCAGGGATGGATGGTTAGTCATCCTATTTGGGATTCTGAAGTTGACCCAGCCTACATTAAAAATGTATATACACTGGTTCCTTTGGATCCTATTGAAGTCTATTCCTTTTAGTTGTCTACAGAGAAAAAAGAAAGGTTGTCAATATAACCCATAAAAGTATTGAGAATACACATGGGAACCATAACAACGGGCTGCCCAAGTTGCTTTCCTAGGACTTTGTGATGTCTGTGCCATCTGACTACTCTAGTTATCAACTACAGCTACGTGACCAAGATTCTAGGGGGTAGATGTAGCCCTGATACATTTCTTTCCCTCAAGACTGAATTACTCAGTAAAGCAGCACTATGGATCCAGTAGCTTTTCTTTGAGCAACTCTGTTTTTCTCTGCTCTTGTGGTCCCCTTCAGACAGTGCTACTTCAATTCAAATTTCTCTAAAGGTATTATTAGAAGAAAAGTAATCCATGAAGCCCAAGAAGAAATAAAACTGGTGGAAGCAGCCAGTGAGACAGAGTGACTTATTTAAGAAAAAAAAGTGGGGTTGGTATTCTGATCTAGATTGAATTGATTATTTCCCAAAACATTTAATTATCTGCTTTCTGTTGCCAGTCTAATGAAGAAAATGTAAAGCAACTAAGGGTAGAGGAAAGACCTAAAATAGTTTGATTTTGTTTCTTCACTTAAGGTAAAGAACTACCCTTACCTTCCCAAGGAGTCTTCTGGTATTGGTATTACATATATTGATGTCTGATACAGCCTTCTGGACTTTTGATTTCTCCCTGCCATTATCTTGGTTTGGCCAGGTTTTCTGCCTGGGTCTGCTTCTCTCAGCTTGCAGTTATATCATAGGATTTATTTATTTATTTTTTTACCAGATATAACCAATACTGTGATACTGTGATTTCCACAGTATATATATATTTGTAAGTACGTGTGTGTGTGTGTGTATAAATAAAACATGAAGAGCCAACCTTCTTTTAGTTTTAAATGCATTTATGAAACATCTCAAAACCGATTTGCTTTTCCTAATTTTGTAACCTGCTAAGACTTCCTAGTGAATGGTATTTGTGTATTGTGGCTTTTTGGATGTCTCTTTGGAACCCTAGAGTGATGTGTACATACAGCTCCTAAAATGGAATCAGGAAACAATACTTTCAGTCCTGTTTAACATTATCTTCTATGAGTTCTTGTCATAACTGGCCTCATTTTCAACGGAACCTTTCTTGGAGTTGTGAAATGGCTAGAAAAATTAATGTTTTAGAAAGTGCATACATCTATACTTACCTCAGTTAGTGGCAAACACCATGACTTTGCCAGGAATCGAAACTATTTGGATTTTGTCTTTCAGATCTTTCATCAAAGATACTGAGAACAATAATAAAAATTAAGATTATTTCTCTAGTAAAAAAAAAGGTAGAAGCATGCTGCAATTTCTGCATACCTGGGAGCTAGGCCTGTGAGGAATGGGTCAGCTGTGTCCTTTCCTCTCAGTCTCAATTTTAGTCTCGAAAGTGTGGATTCCAGGACCTTCACTAAAAAACAAACTCCCTTTTGTTCAATTAACTGTGCAGTGGCTGCCAGAGTCTCATCAGGGGAGATGCCTTGAAGATGATGTGGGAAAGGTATTGGAAGATGTTTCCAATTTTTAATTTGGAGGGAAGGATTCTAGTAACACCTATATAAAACATTTAATCTAGAAATAGAGTTCTGGAGAGGACCATATCCTCTATATATTTTCGGTCTGTATTTCCAGAGATTGGCCCCTTGTGTATTTTAAAAAGTGACTTCTCACCTCAGCAGTCCTTTGGTAGTTCTTTGGGTAGGCTGGTCTCTCAGGCCAGCATCTGCCTTTACCTTCTGTGATTAGGTGTCTTCAGTAGAGGAACTAGGAAAAATAAGTAGTTGTGTGAAATAAATATGTGGCTGTGTCTCCTGAACTCAAAGCTAATTATGAATTGTTCTTTGCTCTGTAAAACCAAGGTTCCTCTAGGGAAAGGAAGCAGCCATATTGTCAATCCCCAGAGAGATGTAGTAAAAAAATTTCTGGCTTGTGAGGAAGAAAAAATGGACAACTTAAAGACTATGAGATCTTTGTTTCTAGTGCAGGAAGTAAATCCATTATGGTATATTTTTGGTTTTCTTCTGAATTAATGTCTAATTTTTATTAGCTTTATACTGTTGTAGCATAGTGAGCTCTCTTATTATTTTTGAAAATATTCCCAACATTCTTCTAAGCTTTTGGTTTTTAAGTCTATTTATTTACTTTGAGAGACAGAGAGAGAGAGAGAGAGAGAGAGAAGTGAGAGAGGGAGAGAATGAGCTGGAGAGAGAGAGAGGGAAAGAAAGAATCTGTCAGTGCAGAGCCTGACACAGGTTTCGATCCCCGGAAACTGAGATCATGACTTGAGCAGAAATCAAGAGTTGGATGCTCAACTGACTGAGCTTTTGTGTGTGCATGTACTTTTTGTTTTTTAAAGAGTTATCTTTTTGTTGTTGTAGAGTGTAAGAAACCCATATAATCATATTTAAAAATATTTCCTGGGGCGTCTGGGTGGCTTAGTTGGTTAAGCGTCCGACTTTTGCTTAGGTCATGATCTCATGGTTCGTGGGTTCGAGCCCCGCGTTGGGCTCTGTGCTGACTGCCAGCTCAGAGCCTGGAGCCTGTTTCAGTCTGTGACTCCCTCTCTCTCTGACCCTCCCCTGCTCATGCTGTCTCTCTCTCTGTCTCCTAGAAATAATAAAAAAAAAAATTAAAAAAATATTTCCTCTAATATGTTTCCTGCATATTTCTTTAAGATCTCACCATCTGAATAACTTTGTAGGGAATTTCTGAAATCAGGCATAGTAACATAGAATAATAAAATGCCCATTTGTTTTGGCAATTGAGCAAAAAAGTATTTGAAGTATAAATCATTTATAGGTCGTTATAGTGCAATGTGGGGATCTTTGAGCATCAAAAGTCAGTTTGAGGTAGCAGAACCACAATATGTATATGGTGATTGGGAATGGAGTTACAAAAGGTAGAGTGGACAAGAACCAAGATATATTTGCCCACTTAATAATTTTGCCTAGGATCAGTTCTTTCCATATTAATGTCATCTCTGGTAGACATACCACAGGTTGCCAACTATTGCCTTTTGTACTATCCCAAATGGAAATATGTCTACTTTGTCATGAAGTCAAGAAAATTTTTCCAAATTATGTGTTTATCACGGTGGGGAATTTCCCACTGTGATGAGAATGCTTTTATTAGCATCAAGTTTGCAAACATATTGTCTCTTCTATTGGAAATTCACTGGAATTTTCTTCTACCTTCATGAACAGTAACATTTGGCATGTAGATTTGTTTTCTATGGTATTTAGATTCACTTTTTGCTGATAAATCCCCACCATTGAGTTAGCAGCCAGCAGGCATTTCTTCTCCATAAAAGCTAGAGGTCAGCATTGTTTTTTAACATCCATCCCTCCCAACCCCAAAAGACTTTTTCCATCATGGCAATTGATTTCAACTTCTCTGTGGTGTAACATCCACATCCAATGACACCAGACAGATGTATCAACATGCTGATTAACGGATATGGGGATATTTTTTTGAGAAAAGACAACTATTCAGAAATACAAATATATGAAAATGAAAATTAAAAATTCAACGGTCTCATTTAATACTGGATGGGACAGTAGATAAGAGAATAAATTAACTAGAGACTAAATCAGAAAATTTTGTACATTAATGCATTGTGAGTAGGAAAAAAAAAGAAAAATGGAAGAGAAGTTAAATATGGAAGTCTGACAGTTTAGTAATTCTGAAGAAAGGAAGAGTCAGAAACAATATTAAAGAGATAATATCTGAAAAAATTTTTAGATTTGGTCAAGCACAAAAATCTACAACTTCCAAGAGCAAGTCCAATACATTCTAACACTACAAATTAAAAATTCACACTCTACAAATAATAAACAATGGAAACTAAAGACAAAAAAACCTGTAAAAGAATTAGAAGAAAAATAGACTCTAGTCCCTGCTTTCTAGTCCTGTGACTTATTCACTCCATAATTGGAAGCCTGAAACTCAAATGTCCTTCACCCATTTTGCCTCTTTTCCCATTGTCCTCCCTTCTTTCAACTACTAGT